AGTTTAATGCTTACTAGATCGTGAATGCAAATAACTTCCAAATCACTTAACTGTCATATTGGACTAAGTATTCAAAATCCCTTTGGTCCACAACCACAAAGATGACAGCAGTGGCATGGCACCTTTGATACCGATTTTCCTCAAACCACATTTAGGTGTAACAACAGAAGTGTAACAAAACCCCAGCCTTTTATCTACTGAATGTGCACAGTAACAGAGAAAGCAAAACATTGTCTGGAAAGGCCATGTAGAGCCTCTTTTATTAAGTCTCTTAAAATTAAGCACTGATTTCTACAGGATGAAACACAATGCTGTAAATCAATAAGAAGACAGGGAGGTGCGCGGATTCATCTCTAGTTACATTACCAGTGTGGGAAAAAGAGAGTGGTGAGATTCTGGAGGCAGGATGTGTGTCCACAAAGGTACAGTGGTGCCTTACCTGCTTCTTAGTGTTTCAATAATTTTAGAGCAGACAACTGTCTCACAAGTTGTCTGTAACTCTGTCAGCATCTTGGCCAACAGACCCTGTTCTTTCAGAATAAAAAAATATCTACCTGTATATGTATTATTGCTCAGAAGAGCACTGGGCTGGTGAGTGGTGTTCTGCACAACATACCTGGAGAGAGATGTTTGCCTGTGGGCGAATTTTGGCTGATGGCAGCTCCACGTAGGAATCCTTCCCAACAAAGTTGACTGTGATGAGCTTCTCGCACTTCTGCCCGGCAAAGCCAGCAAGGCAGCGGCAGACGGGCTCGTGGTGCACGACGATGCACTGCGCCCCATTCTGGCACTCGTAGTTATCACATGGGCTCGTCTGGAGCAGAACCATCGGTGGAGGAGTTTCACAGAAAAGTCCACTGTAGAAAGGAAAGAAAAAGCAGCCTCAGTTATCTCATTTTTTCAAGGAAGGAAACATTTTCAGATGCTGACATTACACTGCTGGGTATAGTGACTCTCAGATTCAGCTACCACGCGCCCACTTTACTGTGTGAAAGCTACACAGCATAGTGCTGTACAGAAATCCCCGTGCTGGCTCTGAATGAGCCAGTTCGAATACTGAAAGCAATTTGTACTGCACTTTACACTGGTTATTTAGCTCTGCAAGGTACAGCAGTCTGGCTAAAATCACTTCCATCCCACACTGTGCTGTGCAGAGGTTCCCGGCAAAAACTGGGAGCCACTTAAGCCCAAACCCGAGACCTCCCTGTCTTGGCTTTGTGACTTGAGTCTACCTCTGCTGTTGTAAGTGGTAAGCAAGGGGAAAATCCTCTATTTTTAGTGGTTTTTACAGCCTCCTCACTTGCTTGACTGTATACCAGAGAGTGTATCATCAACTGCTAACAAATCTCAGAAGCTATGCACTGATACTGCACTATTTGTTTGCTGTGCAGCTTCCCTAAATTGCTTGTTACTAACAGCATCAGGATCATCAACTTCATTTTAGCTGAGTTTGTGGATGGCGATATCACAGATCAGAAGAATGCAAAGGAGAGGAAGCTCTTCCAGAGCCAGAGGGAGCTGAAAACCAAATGCCAGATCTGAGTGAGCACTTGTGAATTCGAATCATATTCACATCTGCAGGAAAGTGCTTTGGTTCAACTTAACTATATAAGAGGCTGAGCAAAACCCACATGTAGGAACCTCTGACCTCTGCGGCTTGGGGCGCATTGCCGAGGAGCAGCAATGGCCCAGTCCCCGGCTGTCGCCCTGGACGCGGCGTGGCTGCACGCTTCACGGGTTATTTGCTGGAATGACTCTGCTACACTGAAATATCGACCCCAGCATAGAAGGAGAAGGGAAAAGTGAGAAAGTGCAAAAAGCTGCAGTCATCTTTCACAGTGATGTCATGTGTCAGACTGAACTGCAAAAAGTAAATGCAAAACCTCTGCCCAGTACGCCCACTGGGCCTGTGCAATCGCCAGGTACTGCAAAGGGATGGGGCCAGGCTCTGGCTGGCGACACACGGCGTGCCCCTGCACCTACAGCCCACATTTCTCATTACAGTCACTGTCCAAAGCCAACAAACTCTTTCTGCACTGATGAGAGAACATTAACTCTTTGCATTAAGTTCTGCGACTGCTTGAAAACGTGTAGACGCTAAAATGATGACCAATCGGTAGCTGGTGCGCAGGGAGCATGTGTCAGGCTGTGCTGCAGGGGACGCCAAGGGGACAGCTGCGGGGAACGCCGAGAGGACAGCTGCCACGAGGCTGCGGGCTCAGGCTCCTGCACCACCTCTGTTACACAGCATTTGCCAGCATTGGGGCAGAGGGCTTTCCAGGAGAGGACTATGGCAGATCCATTCATGCAGGGAATAACCCATCGGCCTCATCCTGGACCAGTGGGATCCCACTTGTCCCACCAAGAATTTCCTACATACAACTAGAATGGAAACCCACACCGTTACCCTCCAGTACATAGTACCGACAGAAGACACGCAAGAACAGCAAATACAACAGCTACAACATACTCAAGACCCATCTTTGCTTAGCTACAGAGACCAGAACCTGCTGCCTCTCTACCAGAAGAAACTGGAGGTGGCTGCTTTCCTTTTTATGTTTTCTTACGTGAAATTCTGCACAGAGTACCATGGCTCTGTCTTTAGAACTGTGTGGAATAAGAGCCCAAACCTCTCTCTGCCCCTGTCCTCCCACCTCTGGTCTACCTCTGGGAAACATGAAAGAGAGACAAATACGCAGCAAAATACGGACAGGCGAAATCCTGAGCTGCATCAAAAGCAAAGGAGGTGCTCTGCTTTTCTATCATGTCTGAGAGAAGAAGAGATACAAAGGGGTTTCCTTCTCCACCAGAACCGCCTCCTGGTACTTCTGAGGACAAACTGCATTTCAGCACTTCTCTCATTGCATTGCCTTAATTTCCTCTGTTCACCCCAAGGCCAGAGTGATGTTTCACTGACAGCCTCCCCGTGCCCGAACTGCATTTCAGCACTTCTCTCATTGCATCGCCCTAAATTTCCTCTGTTCATCCCAAGGCCAGAGTGATGTTTCACTGCCAGCCTCCCCGTGCCCATCCCATCGCTACCTCGGGAGCTGTGGTGAACAGGGACCTTTATCTCGTCACTGCCTGGGTGACACTTGGTGCTGTAAGTGGGCACAGTCACAGCTGCTAATACTGTCAGCAAAGGGTTTGGAGCTGGGGAGCAAACTGCTCCCTGTCAGCCAGTGGTAAATATCCTCCACTAGAAGAGCATAATCCTGCGTAGGGACAAGCCAATCTATTCATTTAGACAGATGTGTCTCAGAAGTGTAGCCTGGCCGGCAGTACTGCTGGCAATCAATAAACCTCATCTGCTTTGTTCCAAAGAGTATCTGGAGGAGGTGTACCAGGTCAGTACAGCGGGCAGCAGGGGACGTGGGGGCACAGCAGGCAGTACAGGGTGGGGGGATAACTGCACACGGGAATGGTTGTCTTTGCTCCGTCTGATGTGTTTCTCAAAGTAAATTTGTTCTTAGGATCGTTTCTTTGTAGACACGCCTAAACTATGAATTAGTTATAGACTAAGAGACTCTCCCTTCCTGAGTGGGGACCCTTTGCTGCAGCTTCTTGGCAGAGCCCCACAGGCCACCTCGTTCCTGGAGGTGACCGCAGCACCTTGGGGGGCATAGCACCACTCAGCAAGAGATGGTTTGGATTCCCTTCTCCAAGAAAACACGGGAATATTAAAAAAATAGCAACAACGTCATGGCAAGAGAGATACACAGATAGCAATTCCTGCCAATTTAAGGTAGTTACTGCAGTAGCTGCCTACCAGCACAGCAGCCAGCCCCGGCCAGAGCTGAGGACACATCAGCGCCACGTCCCCAGTGCCAGCCAAGCACTGAAGTGGACTGTCTGACTGGAGCACTTCCCTGTTCAAAGCCTGGTTTCATTTAGTGTGTGATCTCTCTCCAGTGCAGGGCTTTGTGGCTGGCTGGCAAACACGTCAGCAGAGCCAGCAATGGGATCGAGCCAGGGTCGGTCCCACAGATGGCTTTCCCCCCTGGCCTGGGGTCAGGTGTGATTTGTTTCCCAGAGGTGACTAGCAGAAAGGAGTGCTGCTAACCCAGCCCGTTGGCTTTGTTCTACCTAATGCAAATAGTTTTGTTTTGTCTGTGAGCAACAACTAGAAAGCAGAAGGAAAGTCACTGTATAGAATTCTAATTTCATGGAAGTTAAAAATAATAATAATAAAAAATCCATACGACCCGCAGCAGCCTCCACTAACAAAAAGCAAATGTTGCAAGAAGCCAGTGTGTCTGTGCTTGGTGCTGCTCTGAAAGATGTCCTGAGCTCCCTGCACAGCCCTTCCTTGCTGTGAAAGCCCTTCAGTGGTTGGATTTAAAATGCAGCTGTCCTGCTACTGGAATCTAGAAGTTACATTAGCAACAGTGTCTGTCAAGGCCTTTTCTTTTTTTATTTTAAAGTATTTTAAAAATATATTTTTAGAAATAATTAATACTATTTACTTCCCCAGCAACAGAATGTGGAGCACAGCCTGACTTGCATGGCTTGGCCAAGTCCACTCTGCCTGGTACGATCTCATTTATTTAAATAATCACTGCTGAGTTTCTTGCAGCAAACTGCCCCAGTGGGGAACTCTAAAGCATCTACGCAATGGAGGAACAGTGCTTTCAATCAAGCTCAGCAGTCTTAAAGCGTGCTTTGCCACCAGAGTAACATTTATCAGGACAACACTACTGTGAGGCTGATTGCCAGAGGGAAGGTTTGATAAGTTAGGTGTTGTCCAGCGGGGTTCACAAATTCTCAAAAATGTTCTTCTCTGCAGGGGTAAACAAATGTTGTTTTGGGAAGAAAACACTGAAAACTTTTCAAGAAGTGTATTATGTAATTGCAAAAGGTTGCTGAGTGAGCGATAAGGAAAGGTGCTGCATGGAGCAGAACCACACATGAACATAGGAAATGCCAAGATGGGAAAATAGATGTGTGCATGTTGGTACTACTGCTTTTTGGGGCTGTCATCAGAGATGCTCATTGTGCATGAGCTCCTACATTGTTAAGAATTACCAGACTGCCATTTGTTCAATTGTGCGAGGATGTAAGTTTTAACATCCTTATTAATGTGTGACTCCAAGTGGCTTTGACGTACAGCACAGTGACAACCATAAAATTGTTATAGGTCTATGCATTTATTACAGCAGCATAAGCTCCAGACAACTGGGAGGTCACTCTGCAAATTCACTGCTGGGAAATGATTTTTGATACTTAGCCAAAAAACTTTACTAATCACCATCTTAGGTCTCCTAGTTACCTTTGTCAGACCACCCCTTGTGTTTTCTCCTTTTCATCAACACTTGCAGCCTTCAAACACTTGCACAGTTATCTCCTTGCTGCGCAGCCCCACGCCTGAGGCACGGCTCGTGAACAGCAGAGTCTCTAACCCTGAACATCAGAAGGCTGAACCCTGTCAATCACCAGCTCTGCAATTGGAATCTTAACAGGGGGAAAAAAAAAAATCAAAACCTCCTTCAGAGCAGCAAGCCTTTAAACTACAAAAAGCTAGTGTCATGGAATGAATAATGAACAGATCATATTTTGTCAGTAGAATTTTAATTCTGAAATCAAAAAGATCAGGGACTGTTCTGCACAAAGAACACAAGGGGCTTCAGCTTGCTCTCTGCCTCGGTAGAGGGAGCCTGGTAGTGCCCACTGTGATGTTCTTCTTCTGAAAGACCCTTGCTCCCCTGCGTCTTGCACAGGAAATTTATGGAGGTGGCATAGACTAGTGCAAAAGAATGAAAGCAAGCAGGAGACCTCAAGTTAATCCTGGCTCTGCTGTTGACAGACAGCAGGATTACTTTGCTTGCCCAAGTCTACCTTGGGCTGTGAAGTCCTGTCTAAGCTGGTAGTTCAGTTTTGGAGCTAGGCATAGAAAAGTGTTTCCTCTGTTTGGAGGACTATTAATGGAAGTAACCCCCCTCATCTGAGCGAGGGAGCAGGCTGGGATGTTCCAGGTTCTGCTCTGGCAGTCCCTGGTGTGAGATCAGTCAATGTGGGGCACTGCCCAAATTGCCAGGAGAGCTGCTCGGTACACGGGACAGGACCCAGGGCAGCCTCCCACGTAGCCCTGCTGTTCCGCTCAGCTGTGTCACAACTCCAAACGTATCTGCCAAACACTGTGACCCTGCCTTCCTGGAAAAAAAAAAAACCTCACATTCATCACTGCCTTAAAAATCAGGGGACCTGCACTAGACGTCTGATGACAGGCTTGGGTTGCCCTTGACTCTGCTATGGCTTTGCAATCCCACTTCTCAACTCTAACAATTAGATAACATGGAGCATTTACAGTTCTGCTGTGGGACAGCCACTTGTTATCCTTGCCAGTCACCAATTTGCAAGATCCCTAAGGCTGTCAAAGGGATTGAAGAAGAGAATGAAGCATGGAGAAAAGGGTAAGAATTTCAAATTCAGGGGTATCTGATATCCTGTAAATAACAAGTCAGATTCTGTGAAACCACAGGCTGACATCATGTTATATATCAATGCCTATTCAGGGAAGGCTGTCTGCTTTGCAATAAAAATGTGTGTTGAGAGGGGAAAAAAAGACCAAAAACCAGAAAGGATGAAAGCAAGAAGAATGAAAACAGTTGCAGGTACAAAGCAGAGAAAATGATTTATAAGTGTTCATGCAATTTCTGCTTTGTCAAGACTGATCTTTGCAGGTACTCCTTCTTTGTCTCATGTGTGTATTTCAAACACGGAAAAGGTTTAGCTGGAAGGAAGCCAATATCCAGCCTCAGGCAATGATTAGTGAATCCATTTGGAGCAGCACACTTATCTTTGACAGACAGTGAGATTTCCAGGAGTCAGATATATTAGCAGCTGTCAGAATTAGAGACTGGAAATTTACAGTCCAAGTCATACTGAGCCCATCCACCAACAGGCACAGAGATATTGGCACAAAATCTTCAGACTCGTGCTTTCTCGCAGCCAGATCTGAGGGTTCATATATGTAATTTTATTATCCTTTGCTCACTCTCACGCATGCAGAGTTTATCTCCGTATAATTTTTGTGAGTGTGTTACCTAATGTTTTACCAGGAAAGGCTGGGGCGGGCAGGCAGGCAGACTAACGCAGCACTGCACAAAAGGCAAATTGCTGTTTTCAAAGCAAGAATCGTCAATCCCCTGTATTCGGTTAACTCGTTAAGACCTACTACAGCTCCATGATTTGAAGCACTGAGCCATCCATTCACATAGCAATGGCAGATCGATACCATATCTAGAGGCCGATTAGCAGTGAGGATGAAAGCAATTAAAGAAAGTGCCCCAACACTGTGTACAGAAGACAGTCTGGGGGAGGAGCTGACTCTCACGTACCTGAAACCCTGAGGACAGACGCAGGTGTAGCCATTGACTGCATCGACGCAGACAGCTCCATGGTGACACTTATGGCCCACGCAGTCATCATCATCTATTTCACAGTGTTTTCCACTGTAACCCGGCAAGCACTCACATCTGAAACACAAGAAGATCGCTGTTAATAGCTCGTTTCAACATTCACAACAGTAGCACACGCAGGCAGCCTAGCACCTATCTGATCTGAGACAGAAAGGTGTTAGCAATTATTCTCGGAAACATCAAGCACAATTCCTGCCATCAGAAATGCTCATGTCCCTCCTGTCTGTCTGCAGCTGAGGTTCTGCAACCTGCTTAAATTCAAGCTGAGCAAAGCAACACCATACGCTACTGCTTTTCCTCTGCCAAGTCTGTGGAGAAGGGTGATCATGTACTGGTCTCCCAATTATGCTAAAGACAACAACATCTTCCCTAACCTCACAGACTCAAAGGGTAATGGTCTGCAAGGGCAGTAGCTCTGATGTCCCAGATGATGATTCTGCCAGTGTCTGCACGCTGCTGGGTGTCTGAGGTTGGCCCTGTGCAGCTACACAGAGCACAGTGAGGTTCCACCTTCCAAATGGAAGCAATCTGCAAGCAAGCCATAAAACCCAGCAAATTTAAAGAAAAAGGCCATCAGTTTCGAGGCCACCACCTGTTTGCCATTCATTTGCAAGGCACAACAAATGTTGCTGCAATACAGAAAGTTGTCTTTGAAGCCTGTCCTTTCCTGTGGAGGCACTCGGGCGCAGCATGTACCTGCTGCTGTGGGGTAATGCCATTCGTAAGAGCAGCACAACAGGATGCACCTAAACCCGCGGACATTGGCTGTTTATTTCATTTTATACAATTCTCAAATTTGTTGTATGAAGGCTGCATCAGCATTTTTTTTTATAAGCCTTGCAGAAGTTTATAACCTGACAATAGAAAATGCACCCCAAAGTATCTGACTTGGAGCAGATCTTTTGGGATTGCTGAACAGCCTCTTTTTGAATCGACAGCATAGACAATGTTTAGTCATGAACACACTTCAGTCCATAAAACACGTTTTACTCCTCCCAGCTGGATGTTACTGCACATCTGGAAAACAAAAGGCTTATCACTTAAACCAAAACAAGGGAAGAACTACAGTTAACTTGAGCAATAAAAAAGAGGTCTGTGCTCTTGCTGGAGGCCCTTCTTTGGACCCAGCGTGCTGAGAGCTGGAAGAGAAGAGACATCAAAGTCAAGGGAGGCAGCATCAGGCAAGAAACTACCACTCCACCAGCCTGTTCAGCTGGCCTCCTCCTCCTGCCTGCCAGCAGCCTGGTAGGGTAAGCACAGGAGGAGGATCACGTGGAAAACTTCTTCAGAGGAATCGGACACATGGGAGACATGAAGAAAGATATTTCCACTTTCCAGGCAGCAGTCATTGTGCTGACTTTGGTTCCGAGTGGCAGTGTGTTTTGGCTCCTGGGCTCTCCCCAGCTCATCAGGGCAAGGCAGTGACTTGGAGGAAACTTGCCAGAGTGCAACGGTGCATCCTGTGTTTGCTAATGACCGGTGAACATCAGGACTTCAGCAACCATCAGCTGAAGCACTGAGAAGAATGTGATCTTCAGTCTCCATTTCAAAACATGGTTTCTGACTGGCTAAAAAAGGAGGAAACGGGGCAAAGCCTATTAACCTGCAGGCTGTAAGGCTGATAACATGTACTTTCTTCCTCCATAACATGTACTTTCTTCCTCCATCCTCTCTGCAGGAGAGACCCCCATCACAACCCTCTGCAGCCACAGGATGGTTGATGTTCCAGCTCTGCACACTTCAATTGCTTTCTTACACCTTGGTGGCTCAGGGAATACTGTGATTAACGTAACGGAGACGACAAACAGAGCAAAAAGTGTTCCTCCCCAAACCATAAGAAGCGGGCAACGTTTTTTGGCAACATTTTAGTCACACCTGCAAGCAAATAATGTCAATCAAAAGACTTTGTGGGGGGAATTGGCAGCATTTAATCCTGTTGCTTTTTATTGATCCCTGCAGTCCTAATATAAAGTGATGTAATAATGAACGATGTGCAGTTCCTTATTCAGGGCTGCCATGCATCAATTTTATGATGTGTATTGGCTATCTCAGTAATGACAGAACCACCACTTTTCTCTGCAGGGCTGCATTAAATCAGCATTTTAAGCTGTCAGGTAATAATTCCAAGCTTTAGAATAATAAAGTATATTTATACCATGCTCCAACATCAATACAGTGAATGGAAAAACATGCTCCTTTCCTGAAGGTGTTTTTTCAGAAGTCATTTCATTGTGTTAAATGGTATTTTTTTGTTGATTTTTGTTTTGTTTTGTTTTCTGGCATACAGAAAGCTACTCCTCTATAGTAACAGTACAATAAAGATGTGGAGGCTGGAAGTGAGGAAAGCCACCTGCAATTTTAGCTTAGAAAGCAAAGAGCTCTGTGCAGCCAAGCACACACTGGAATAGTCCTGTTTGCTTCCAAGCTTGGTTTTCTGTTTAGAAACATGGAATTCCTTTTGGGTCAGTCATCTCTGAACCTCTTCTAGGTTAAAGCTACCAACAAACGCATGCCTGGAGTGTAGCAGGTGAGAAACTCAGCCACATGAGTGCCTCACCCAGCCTCCTCCTAGAAAACTAAGATCTCCCCTGCCAGGGAACCATGGCATATTGGCTTTATTCCCATCCCACATAGTGCCAGCAGGTGACTGAGTATCAGTAAAAGTCTAATGAAGTAAAGGAGGAGGCAAAGAAACTTCCATATTCAAATCCTGGTAAGAGAGTCATTTACGCAATTAGATCCATTATCTCATTTCCCAGTGACCATCTGACACCAGTACAGTGGAAATCTTGTTTTCTGCTACAGCCTTGTAGTGATGGCAACATTCCCAGTATCAGAGAGAGCCTAAAAACACATCTAGTGTATCTGAAATGTTGGCCTCTCCAATGGGATTTGCATCTGCATGCACTCAATGTCTATTGTATTAAAGCTGTGAATCATGGCTTCTATTGCTGGGCCAGAATGGAATTTCCCTCCCCATATCAATAAATAACTTGGCTTCCTATTTTTTCCTGCCTTTATCATCTTTTCCTCCCTCTGCAGAGCTGCAGACTGATTAGAGCTGAAGGCAGGACAGCCAGACTGACCAGTGTCCTTGCTACTATGATACTTTCACTGCTGTGTCCTACTCACACACCCAGGGTATGAGCCTGACAAGTGGATGTCAGCTCAGGAACAAGCCTGAATCCTGCCATTAATAATGGACAGAAAAAGTAAAGAAATTCTGGATTTTCGTATAGCATTCTCTGAATAGTGGGAAGAATAACACAACAGACAGTGAGAAAAAATACTTACAAGTAGTTATGTAGGCTCCCCTCAAGGGTTAATGGTCCCACTGTGAAGAACACTTTTCTAGCAAGCAAGCAAGCAAGCAAGCAAAAGTGTCTTATTTACTCAAATTATGTGGCAAGTATGAAAATGCTTCCAGCCAGGGCAGAACCATTCAGCACCACAGCTGTCTCCATCCCTTCATACATCTAGCATTAATTTGAGTTACAAGCCTTTGTCTCGTAACATGACATAGGTACTGGATTAGCTGAATGATGGATTAGCTAAGAACGAAAGCTGGAAAGAATATCAGGGACTATTTATGTACCAGTACACACCTCCTTATCCAGTCCCTGTGCATCATTTCAGAAACTGTCCTAATCATTTAACAGTCTCATCTTCCTCAAGAGTTGGAAACATTTCTGTCTGGAGGTTTTCCACCCAAAAGAAAGGCTTGAGTTGTACAGACTGATTGTCTAGCACAGATTGAGCTGCCCTCTAGATACCCAGCATCTCTAAAATTTTTGTTTGCTTCCTTTGAACTATCCTGAAATGTTCCGTGTGTTAGTTTACACTACTCTGACAAGCCAGTTACTTCACAGGACACAATCTGACACCAACTGCAAGTTACCCAGAAGACCAAAGAATGCTACCATCTCTCCCCTGCTGGGTTTGCTGGGTGAGGGTGCCCCTTACCAGAACCCCAGCCCTCCCTCCCAGGAGGGGATCGGTGAGCCCCCAGTAGTGCATCGCGGCTGTGAAAACAGCCTCAGTGTAAAGTGCAGAATGCAGCTCACGCTGCACTGAACTCTCCTGAATTTGTTCTCCTTCCTTACATCTTTCATTCAAAAATCCTTTCTTGACAAGCTTTCTACACAGCCTGACTTTTCAATTGACTGTCTCTATTTGCTAAATTGCTCTGAAACTCCCTGTTCAGACAAGTGATGAACACTGCTACTATGCACGTCTCAAAACACCCCAACCCTCAAATCTCCAGATGTTTTACTGCCGTTTAAAACATAAGGCTTTACTTTGCCCCTGTGAAACAGCCAGTGTCATTCCCAGCACACAAATGCAGACGCAGGAGACCACCAAATCTAACACGAGCTGAGCAAGGCTCGCCTCTGTAGCCAACAGAAGGCGGCCGCTCCAGTTCAACTGTTCTTAGATTCTCAGGCAGGATAAGACGTTTTGCAGTAACTGTTCCATTAGTACTCCTTTTGCTATGCTCTGTTCCAGAATAATCTCTCTGCTCTGGGGGTACATCCATTATTTTAAAGTAAACCACGGAAAGCTAGGAAAGTATGTATGGTTGCACTAAAATTAAAACGTGACATGGTATGAAGTATATATAGTCTTTCACTATTTGCATTGATTTTGATGATTTTTACCCCAAGCTCATTGCCAGTCCAACCCTAGTCAAGCCAATGGCTGGAGCTGCCCAGTCTGTGGAGACCAACAGACACGCACGCTTACCTGGTTCCTTTGTCAAGAGGAAGACATTTGGACTCATGTTGGCAGGGATTTAGATCAGGAACACAGTGGTTAATCACCTCATCACACAGTTCACCTGAGGCAAAAGAAAAGCAAAAAAGCTGTAATACAGCTTGGACAATCCTGAAGCAGCTTCAACCATGACGTTCAGGGATGGCAAATCTCCCTAAATGGAGACAGCTCAGTAGTTCAGCAAGAAGCGACAATACTGCTTGTGAGGGCATCTGAGACCTCATTAAATTGGGCTCGTTTGACCTACAGTGACTACTGTTTGTACCAAATGAATCTGAAAGGCTGGTATAAAAAGTACCGACATAAAAACTACACTTGGAGACAGGCTAAGGATCAAATGGGTGGTTCCTGACCCAAAACTTCTTATATGAAAGCAAGAAAGTGACACAGAAGTAAAGTTGCTCATCAGACTGTAAGATTTTCACACTGAAATGTATTTTAGCCCTAGTTAATACTCTGCCAAAGAAGCCGATTGGACACCATTCTGGAAAGGAACAACAACCCACAAACCCTCCCCCCAAAACCTCTGCGACTCTCAACAATAGGAACCAGCTTTAGGACTGCATGCAATTATAAAACACTCACTATTTATAAGAAAAGTACGAGCTCTATTGTGCTCACAGGGGATCTTGTCTTTTCAGAAAAAAACCCATCACATGTAAGCTCAGCTCAGCTGTTTCTAGGTATGGTGTGTTATAAACCATGCGCCTCCCTGGATTTGTATAAATTTTAATAATTAGTAGTTCTAGAATGTTCAAAACCAGATAGTTTATTTAAATACCACTCTTCTCTGACTCTTAAATGATTAGGTCATGCTTCAGTACCCCAAGATTTGAGATCCGGCCAAAGACCACAGAAATCTTTGCCTTCCCAAGAAACCAATGGAAACCTATCCCACACCTCCCAAAGCCTTGCAGAAAATGCAAAGGTCAGGTACGCTCAACGCAGGATCCCCCAAAGTCCCCTACGCATCTCTATCAGAAGACTACATCTGCAGGGTTTCAAGGTTACGCATATTTTGTGTGCCTATACACAATACATACCATCATGAGCAACAAACCATGTGGACAGTGTGGGGAAAAAGGATAATGTGGGAGGCACTGGTGGGCTGGCAATGTTTTTGCAGTATTTTCATGAAGCTGCAGCTCCACCCGTCTTGGGAGAAACTCCATTTTCAAAACTCCTTACATTTCTAATTCTAGCGTCTATAGAGAAACACTTGAAAACATAAGCCAAGCAAACCACAAAGATTAAAATTCAGATGGAAAATGCGAATCAGAGCCGTCCAGCTTTTATCAGTCTTGTGACCCGTCAGGGATGACTGAGGACACAACTTTCAGGATGACTCTGGCGGTGACAGGCATCGTTTCAGTTGTTAACATCCCCAGCTCACTCCTTCAGGTGATTTCTCCTAAACCTCCAGCCTCCCTACAGTACAGGCTACATAGCTCTTTCTTTGACTCTTCATATTAGAATGGAACTATAATATGTATTTGCAAAAGCTACTCTTTTTTTGTTGTTGTTTTAAACATGGAACATCTAATATATCTGCTTTTGAGAGTTGTCAAGCGTAAGTGAGAAAGTGGAGCAAGAATACAAGCCCTGGAGGCATGAGGGAGGGTAGCACCAGCAGACACCCTGTATTCACATCCCATACATACCCTCATGACTTTTAGTGGGCTGAGTTTGGCAATACCGAGACGTCTGGCATAGCAATCTTCTGCGGACAGTTCATTGTTCACAGCATCAGTTATAAGGCAACCAGTTCCATCTGGAGCCAAGAAATCCCAGGAAGCTACCGCTATTAAATAGTACCAGATCTTTTACAGCCTTGGACAAATCTTGGGCAAAAGTAGTGAATGTGTCCAGCTCAGGACGGGGGGCATCCCAATGCAGTTGAATGCTGCAGATCCATGGGAACCAGGGAACCAGATCATTCACTGGACTTACAGTTTGCCATCGTACTTTGGTACTCCTCAAAAGCAAGTAGAGATGTTCAGATCTTACAAATATGAACACAGCTGTCATTGGGGACAGCTATGAACACATTTTTGAGGTGGCAGAACTGGAGATAGATCTGCTTACTAAGCAATCCCCAAATCCTCAACCCACCAACCCTCCCAAACACTAACAAGTGAAGTGACTCGCTCAGCCTTTGGGCAGACATGAACATGAGCAGGTCAGAACTTGCTGCGATGCCTGGACTGCTGCCAGCTCATCAGCTTGGTATTCCTCACGTCCCTTGGGTGCTATGAAACTTATGTGAAAGTAAACATAAAAAAAAAGTAACTAGCTGGTGAAACTCAATGATCTAAAGCTGGAAATATTTTTGGAAGACCGTTTAATAACTGAATGCACTGTGGATAGATGCCTTCAACTATTCCTTCACTAAAAATGGTCAATACATGCTTTTGAAGTTTCTATTTCTTTCTGTTGTTGTTATGAAGAAAAAGAAACAGGCTTTAAAAAAATAAGAAAAGTTTCATAAACTCTCAAAGGAAATCATAATTCTTCTTAAAGTATTCTTCTCAACAGCCTTGACAAGTGCTTAGAGATCCAGTAAAAATCTCCCCAAATGTCAAATATTATGACTCACTGTGTCATTTTGAAGGCACCACTATCATAATGTAGGAGAATTCTAGGCTAGGTACCAAACATAGCATCCAAAAAAAATTTATCATTTTTCATGCAAAACTTGGAACATTTAAGGATCCTTCCTGTTATTTTTCCCATCTATCACTCATTAGGGAGCTCACTTGGGAACGCCTTGCAACTAGAGCAGCCTCATCTCAGGAAGAAAATTCTTCTTGATACATGATTTCAGGCTCCACCAGTGTTCACTAGATGTTGCGGAAAGCATGCCAGGGAAATAAAACACTTTCTGAAAAGCAAAACCCAAGGCACCAGCTACACAAAGACTTTCTCGTATTTTATTCACTCAGAAAATATCTGGGCCAAAAAATCTGCCCTCAGACCTGAGAGTGCAATATTCATTGGCCGCTTTAATGTCAGTATCAGAGCAAAAATCTGATCCTCTTTTTTTTTTTTTTTTTTTTTACAGTGACACGGGGCTGCTTCTCTGTGCAGCAATTAAAGGTCTAGTCCAAATTCCTCACTGGATAGCTATGTGAACCTAAAAACAAACCGGACATTAATCTTGGGCCAGCTTCTAGCAGCACCGATTCTCTTTGCGGAAAATACTTGGTCATTCTAAAACAACACAAAACTTCAGTGTAATGCTTTCCCAAATGCAGAAAATAATCCAAATAATAAAGTTCTGTGGTCTGTAGAACTGAGGTACGATGGGAAAAGGGTACCTTTACAAAGACAGGCACATCCTCAGCTGTGTGGGCACTGCATTTCCAGCTTCTTAAGGCTGGTGTAATGTGCTGGTAATTAGTCCATGGTTAGGAGAAGAGAGCATTAGACAGATGAAGGAAGCAGTCTGATCTGCCACAAAAAAAAACGCAACTTGCAGATTAGAACCAAGTTGCACTGACAGGTGGAACACTAACAGGTGGATCTTCAATTGCTGCTGTCTCATGCATTAAGAAAAAAAAAAAAAAAAAGAAAAAAATCCCCAAACAATACAAAAGGTATTTTGCCCATCTGAAACTACTTCCCTTGTCCCCTCCACCAGCATTGCTCATTGTTTTTTAAAAAATCACAGCAAAATATCTTTTGCCTCATGCAACATTTTCCTGCTCTTAATTTTTCAGCAAAATCATTAATTTCATGGGGCTTTCCACATCCACTTTTCACAGGGCTCACTGCTTAGGAAGAGCTGCCAAGAAACATGCTTAGGCTTTTCTGTAGCCTTCCACAGCTCTCAGAATGAAGCCAAAACAACAATAGAGCAATAAAGATGACTTTTACACACAGTTTAATAATCGTCTTTCTTTTTTTCCGTTCTGTGCTGTCATGAGAGCTATATATTTCATGCCACATTAGACTTTTAAAACCAGGATCCAAGTTACACTAATTCTCCTTAATCGGTAAAAGAGAGATTGGATGCAGTAACAGTATTTTACTTACTTATCTGTAAGTAAAACTGCAGTTCTGAAAAGACAACCCAGACCACTAATTTGCAACCAATTAGTTAAATGATTTTTCTTTTGTTTAATGTCAATTGTGGGATACTTTGTTCCCTCATTCAGAGTATTCATGAAATAATTGATAAAGCAACACAGAAAATATTCTCATCCTTAATGTGCGAGAAGCTTTTGTAGGGTCTGGAAGACTAAAAGCAAACATGCTGTCAAGAATTTCACAGCATTACTTGAGAAAAGGAAAGTGCTTACAGTGAAGAAAGGATGAAGAAAGCCTGGCCTTTATCCACAGAGCAAACTTTTACAGGCTGCACAGGGAGAAAATACATATTTGAATCGTTAAATAGTATGTTGCAATTTTCTGAGCTCTGCCAGGTAAGCCAGAATGGAACTCTTCTCTTTACTGCTAATAAAAATACTGCACTGTTTTTCTCATAAGAGATTACTCATTTTATATCTAATAACTTGTATCGGAAGAAATGTTTTTTGTATTTTGTTTTCCTCCTCTCTCTTTTCAGATATTAAAAAGAAGTCAGTGCCAACTGGAAATTTCAGGAGAACACAGAACCTAAAAATGGCTGGCTGGAACAGATGTAGGATGTTCCTCCAAGAAAACAGTTCAGTGAGGAATGTTCTTGATGTTTGATGAAAAAGATTTGAGGTTCATCTTAGAAAATAAAAAAATGATTTTTTTTTACTTCCAAACTGCTTCAACTTGTAATGAAGAAAAGAAAAACTCAGTGAAAATCCTGCAGTAGAAAAATGCACTCGGCTGCCATGTTAGATACCAAAACATAAAAGAAATTACTTGAAATGCACTGTAGCAGAATTCTCTGTCTGGGTTATTAATGAAGTTGGCTCTTGCTTGTTGAACAGTGCCCACAATACTTAGTGGGCAAAGAAATAAAAATTAATTTGTACTTTTTATTCTGTGTTAATTCTTTAAGAACTCATATCTGAGTTTTCACGTATCAGGTTTTGGCCTATTAAGTGGGAACCTTAAGTTAGACCCCAC